GGTGGGCGGGGAGCTCTCGGCGCCGTTGCGGTAGTGTTCGGCGGTCGCAGCAAATGTCTGGCTCATATTTCAATCAAAAACGGCGACAGCTGCGTGCCAGCAGCATAAGCTGCAACATCATTTTGGCAAGAGTCCATCAAGTGATGCTAGCTGCTATCTGCTGCTGCGGCTGCTGCTGCTGCTGCGGCTGCTGCTCCTTGCTGCTGCTTCTTGTAGCCTCATCAATATTTACAACCGGCGTGCCACAAATTTTGGCACAGCCAAAACGAGAGGCGTGTTTATGAGCTAATCGAGAGAGTGAGAAAGGCGCAAAGTTAATTGCTAAATGACAAAAACAAACGAGGAGTGTGGGCAGCCAGCCACTCGAGAAAAGACAACCACAGACACACACACACACACTCACACACAAAATAAGTCATGGAGATATAGAGACAATTGACAGAAGGCAGAACAGCTCCACTGTTTGAGGCTGGAACTGGCCCAAGATTAATGTACGGCAATTAAACGTTTAAGTGTTGATTAATGTGACTTGCCGTATTTAAGACCAAAAAGGCTAAGAGAAGGCTGCCAGCTGTCTGTCAATCAGAGAGAGAGAGAGAGAAAGAGAGAGCGAGAGTGAGAGAGAGAGATAGGGAGCGGGAGTAACAGAGTAAAAAATAGAATAAAAAAAAAATCAAGGGGCTAAACTGAGCAAAGAAAAAGAAAATATGCAAAATGTTGCTGGCCTAATTCGGGTCAGTGGCATAACCATAAATTCAGGTCCCTCTAACTAAAGGGGCTAGGTGCAAGCAGCAGAACTCAAATTGAAAGACATTCGCATTTATCATCTTTACGGTTTAACTGCCAAAGTGCTTTGAAGGGATAACCAGCCAAGTGTAAACCAGAACAGAACAGAACAGAACCGAGCTGAGTGGTGCAAACAACAAGAAGAAAAAATGTAAGTAGAAGGGGGGAATTGATGCGGCTCCACGGCATCCGCAAAGTCAAACAATGTTGTACGCCTTACTACGATTTTTATTCTCTGCGAACTGTCTCTGTGTTGGCTTGCTGTGTGTTTATCTTGGCAGCGTTAAGAAAAAAAAGAAAGAAAGAAAAAGGTGGCCAAAACATGAAGTATGAACTATGAACGTCAAATAAAACGCACTTGGATAAGGCGCACAGGAATTAAATGTATGAAATATGACATTGGTATCTCAAAAGTGAAAAATGCTCAAGCCTCTAGCTATTCTATATTTATATAGATCTTTTATAAATAAACTTTGCTCCACAACATCCTTGTACTCTACTCAAACAACTACAATTCTTTGTTTTGCTTACTGGCGTACTTGTTCAAGTGCCAGTGCTCTGGCTCTGGCTCTGGCTCCAAGACAATGGCTGGCAAAAGAAAGAGCTACCAAGAATTACGACAGCATTTTGGTTGATTTTCAAATAAAATTTTAATGAATCAAAATAGCCAGGAAACTTTATCAACAACCTCGATGCCCTACCCACCCCGCGATGCCCACCACCAATCAGACAGCAATCAGTTGGAAAAATAAAAACCTAAGGCTGCACCACTTGTCGTACGTCAAGGAAACTACGAAGAGCAGCTCTCAAGCTGAGCCAAGCTGCTTAAATCTGTCTGGCAAGTGCTGTGGATGCAACAGCAGCAACAACAGTGTAATAACCATTAAATCAGTTGCTTTCCACAGAACGTTGCACAGATTTGCGCTCAAATATTTATCAACATCGAACAGCAGCCGCAACAAAAGCGAGACCTATAAGGACTGCACAAAAAAAGAAAGAAATTTATATATATAAATAAATAAAAAATGATGCTGCTGAAGATTTAATACAGTTCAGTTCATCTATTCAGTACTAACTAAGTAGAGCAATAATGATAAAGACATCGAATTTTAAAATTAATCGCGGTATTTGCCTCTTTATTGGTTTATCTCTCTGCACAAAGTAAGAGGATATATAATATATATTTTTAAATGCATTTACATTTTTAAATGAATTATTTTTAAATGAATAATATAATTAAATAAATCGATTTATATAGAGGCCAATATATTATGAAAAATACCTTTGCATTTTCATAGATTTAATTCAGATAATAAGGTAAGTAGGTAATTAATAAATCATGTCATCATATATAATATATCAGATCTCAATAAATTTAAATTCGCTTCTGCAATAGTATTTATTTTAATGCTTGTGATTTAACTGATGCTGCCAACAAAATGAGCAGATATCTGCACGAAAGTTTTATTAACTTTAATTAAATGCCATAGAAATCAGAGAACTCACTGCCCGAGTGTTGAAACTATTTGAATTTATGCACTGTATTGGGCTTCTATATGTTGCTGCGAGACAACTGGAAGGACAACAGGAAATTCAGTCATAAAATTATATACATGCCGCAAAATTCAACAAATTAGTTGAGGCAAACATCCTGCTGATAAAAATGTGGCGGTGCGAAAGTCTGTCTGATTAATTGATATAACAAACAGATGCCAGTGCGCGGTGGCAGAGAGAAGTGAGAAGCGAGAAGCGAGAAGAGCAATGAAGAGCAACAGAAATCAGGGCCAGCATTGGGGCATGATGATTTTAATTAAATTTTCTTAGCTGGCAACAATCCTTTTATATGGCGCCATTTTCCTGGCATTCACATTGTCAGCAGGCTTCTCACAAGCCGCTGTCTGTGTGAATCTCTGCGTCTGGGTGTGTGTGTGTGTGTGTGTGTGCGATTGTGTTTGTGAGTCGGCTAATGAAAATCAAACGTTGCAACTGTCCCACTGGCTAAGCAAAATGAATGGGGCAGACTTTACTGTTGCTTCCGCTGTTGCTGTTGCTGTTTCTGTTTCTGTTGCTGTTGCGACCTTGACGCGGCAGCATCTTGTGATTTATTATTAAACACGTATATGAATTTCTCAAGACAGCGTGCGCTATTTACAAAGCAACAACAACAACAACAACCATAACAATAACAAGAGCAACGAGAACAACAGCGAAATATGAAAGCAAAACAGCGGCATACAATACGAGTAGAATACAGCTTCCGAACCTGTGGCATTTTCATGCGCATTTTTATGATTAATTAAAATTTATGTTGGCAACAGCAAAGAACAATGAGGTAAATTATCTTTGCTTGTGTGGCAACATATTTAGCAGCGCCCAATTAAGTTTGAGCCTAAGATTGAGAGCTGTCATCTACCCCACTTCTGTCTCCTTCCCAGCAACACGCAGCTAATTGCAAGAAACTATGACATTAACCGTGCACAGTTACTGGAGCGTAAATAAAAGAGAAAGCCGGAGAGATAGGCAGAGACACACAGAGAGAGAGAGAGAGAGAGAGAGAGAGAGAGAGAGAGAGAGATAAAAAAAGAAAGCGCAACGCATTTTATATTTATTAAAGCAATAAAATAAAGTACAACCTGGCCACAACCGCGCGAACCCTCGCCCAGTTGCCCAGATAACGTGTCCGGGCAGCAGCAGAGAGAAATATCGCCTTGTCATAGCCGTCATGCAGGTCCCTCCCAGAGGACTCAACTCACGTTACATAAATTTTTGGCTGTGTGTGCGAGTGTATGTTGTGGGGTACGTGTAAATTGCTGTTGTTTCACCATTTTGGACTATGACTATGGCAATTTCAATGGCAACGCCTACGCCTTATGTTAACTGGTTGCCTGGGTGTCCCTCTGCATGGATTTGGGGGCATATGTAACAAGGGCGTAGCAATAAATTTAAAATTAACCCTTTTAGGAGCACAGCTTCTCTGACCTTAGCCCCTTTTTCTGACACTAGACCACAACACGTGCTTCAACCTATTTAAGAATGAGACGACACAAAATCACAATAGTTTTGTGCACGAAAGCTGCTCCACAAACATATATAGTTCTCAACTATTTTGGTGAGAACGGAATTTATTTAATTTTCATTTATTCTTCTGCTCAACATATTCTTTGCAAAATTCCAAAAAGTTTTGTGATCAGAGTGGAAAAGAATGTGAATAAAGTTGGCAATCGGATGGCAGAATGTGCTCAAAACTTGATTGGCATAATAGTAATAAAATAATAGTTAGCAATTATCTTGTTAAATATGACTTTATTGAGTTATATTTTGCTAATAAAATACCAACTCGACCAATTGCCAGATTTGCAGGACTAAAAATGTAATTTGTGTAACGAAGTCAAAGGAAAATATATAATAAAATAAATCAATCGAAGACATTTTTGAATTTATTTGTTAAAACAACTTTTCCACTTATTCTGAATCACATATTTTTCCACTTATTGTCGTAAAATGACGTGGATAATATAAATGCTATTTCAATGCTGCTTGGGGCAGAAGTAAGTAATCATTATAGGTACAACAACAACAAAAAGAAAAAACGATAAATAAAATGTGGAAATACCAATAGACACACACACACACACAAATGAAATAACCACAATATCATGCTGACCGAAAAGCTACTGCACGAGGCGGCAATTGGCATTAAGAGGAAAATCGTTAAGTGGAAGGGGGGAGGGTGGCAGGGTGGCAGGGTGACTAGGCAGTGGATTGGGCAATGGACACAAAGTTCAAGTGGTCAAGTCAAGACAATTCGAAAAATACTTTTAAAAGGAATTTCGCTTATGGGCAACTGATTGTGCCAATGCCAGCAGTAGAAAAGGGAAAGGGAAGAAAAGAGAAATTAGAAAGTAGAAAGTGGTAGAGGCAGCTCCGAGATGCCGTCCTCGGAGAGACAGACGAGAACTAGAAACTGAGAGCTGGGAGTTGGGAGTTGGACGATGGCTGCCTCACGTTTGGCGCTTGGAAAATTGAATTGTTTTAGATTTTCTTCTCATTTTCCGGCGTTTTCGCTTTCGCTGCGCCAAACAAATAAATCAAATTGGATTTTCTTGTGCACTTAATTTCGTATAGGAAATTGCACAAAATGGCACAGCGCAAAAAACATAATCAAAATCAAATCAGATGAAAGCAATCAAAATAGAAACAGCCAAGTAGGCTTTACAATGTGTTGGGGAAGCAGCCAACTAAGTAGGCAACCACATTTGCCAGTTGAAAACAATTTCATTAACAGTTTGCTGTGAATCGAACACATTCGTCGAGAATGTCTATTCCAAATTTAATGCAAAATGTCAATCGGCGAATGGCGGATTTAGCTCTGATGACTGCCATAATGCGACAAATGGAGTATCTGAAGAGTTGCTGTTACTTTTTCGATCTAAAGTTGGGCTGCAAGCTTATTGCAGTACTCGAAGCATTTAGTGGCCTGTGGCAGATATACCATGATGGCAAAGAGTTATACGGCAAAACGGATCCCCTGCTGGCACCCGAGTGGCTTGATGCGAAGATAGCGAAACACGGTTCGCAATTCAATTTCTTCATGGGACTCATTGGGTTCTTCAGCTCCCAGCTGCTGCTGGCAGGCGTTATCTTTGTAAGTATTACTAAAAGGTTTCTCTCTCATTCGATCCATTTTCAAATGGAAGACCTTTCCTACAGGAACGCAAGTTGTGCGTGTTGCTTTGGATCTATGTGACGGCGCTGGTCACACTGGCATTCATGTTTTACACCCTGATCATCGCCTGCATACCCGAACTTTTGATATTCGATGTCTCAACTATTGGTAGGCTGATCAATTATTATTATTACTAAGCACCCATTCAGACTTGCTAATTTTTACTGCCAAACAAGTGACATTTCTTTCAAGTGTTGCAAAACGCATGGCAGAGTAATTATATTGAGTGCTGGCTATCATTTAAAAATTCTACTCCGACAATTAATCGAATCGAATTAAAGATGTTTCCAACTTATCTGACTTGCAAATTGATTTGCATTCAACCCAATGAGAGACATCTTAAGTAATTGCAAAAGTGTCGTTTTAAATCATTGTCATTTAAATCAGCTTTTACCACTTCACCGACACTTAACGGCTTATAAAAATTAAAAATTAAATCAAGATAATTTGAAGAGGTCTCAAAATGTTTCTATTTTCAGTTCTGCAAGCATATTTTATAATGATCGCTGTGGCATACTATATGCAAATGCGACGCGCCGCAAGCTCTGAAGAAGATGCCGAGGTGTTATTTACGGCCCGTGAGGTATAAAGCTTGATTAGCTTACATATTATATAGTTTGTAAATAGTCAATGGATAGTTGGCAATTGCATTCGATAATATGATTTTAATAAAAGTCGCATTGATGCAGTTTTTCAAGCATTTTTCTTACTACACTAGCGTTGATGAGAGATCTATAACAATACTAATTGCTATAGCTTAGTTGCTAATTAATTGGTAAAATGCTTATTAATTAATTGGTAAAATGCTTATTTTAATTGTATTTATTTGTATTATCATGCCGCAATTCCGACCACTACAACCAATTTTTGAGCTATTCAAATGCGTTATTCATTTGCTCTAAAAACTATGTACAAATGCAGTAGTGTTATTTAAATTGTACTATTTAAACATGCTGTTATGATTATGGTTGCGAGTACAGTTGAAATTCACGGAAATCGTTGCGAAAGTGTAAACAATTGCATTTATGCTATTTTCATTTCTCAAAAATTGATTGCATTGGCAAATTTGGACGGAAAATAGCAAGAATAAAAATAAAATATTGCAAATTAAATGAGCTCTTCGCTATGGCGAAGCTTAAATACTGTTTCCGCAATTACTATTATTTTTGTGATATTAGACTTTAAGACTTAATGTTTACAAATAAAATCTGTAAATTTGATAAGTTATTTTTGTTTTTATTGGGGAAAGAGCATATTTAAATAAAATAAAAAAAAAAAGTAAGCAATACATAAATAACCAATTGAAATTTGAAAATTGCATCTAGATATACGAATTTCTTACTTTTGCGAACGATTTTTTTGGCGGCTCTCGCGAGGATGTTGCCGTGGGCGTGCCGCGTTTATTGGGGCGATTCTTTTTGAGTACGATAACGCGCATGGTGCACTGTTTAGATTAGTGTATACGGCTCGTTGGTATATGTTGGTGTATGTAAATTCGATGAGAATTTGTTAGCGATGCACAACGAACAACAATTAATACTTTTACTCTGTTTTTATTTATTTCGGCAATGTTTTCTTTTTTTGTATCTCGAGTCCTTCAAATGAATTGCCGTTTGTAAACGGATTTACACATTCGGGACGCAGCACGTAATAACCAATGCGATGCTTTACATTACATAGTATTGATTAGGTTAACTACTTTCTATATAGTAGATTATAGCAAATTTGTCTAGTTGATATTTACAGTACAAATACGAGAGTAACTAGCAATATATATATATATATTTTTTTTTTTATGTATTTATTTCTATTTGTTGCGAGCAATTGCTTTAGTTAGGTTGGTGTTGCTAGATGTGTAGGCAAGTGTTTGGTAAGTGGTAAGAGTGTGATAGAGATAGATGTGTTTCGATATCTATTGTTTTTTTTTTTTTTTTTGTTATTTGTAGTTGACAAGCGTGTGTTTTTAGCCAAGTTGTGAGCTCGTTTTTATAGTTTTGCCAACCTGACTTTTTGTGGCCATCTAGTTGTAGAATGCACTAATTATGAAATTACGAAAAGCAAGCAAAACGATTCGAGGAAAACTGACAGTGCTACATAGTAAATTGTTGGTATGTATTCAATTATGTGTAATTAATCAATTAATTCTTTTAAATATTGCATTTTAGTTTTGCATTTTAGACAGCAATTACGTTATGGCGCACGGTGCGTATGCGTGTTGTATTGTTTGTTTGTTTGTTTTTTTTTTAGTTAATTTAAAGAAAGCTAAGAGAATATTTTACAGATGCTGCCTACTCGTAGTTGCTTAATTGTTGTTGATGCTTGGATCAACGAGACAATTGTTGTGCTTTACTTACGGTCAAGTCAAGTTTTATTATTAGTTTATATTTTGGTTACGATTTATTGAGCAAACGCCTCAAGAAACTGAACACAAAAGCCTGCCTGTTCTGCGCTCTACCAAAAAGGATATTGTCTGTGCTCTGTGATTAACAAAATCTTTGTTATTATTTCTGTTGGGTTGTTGGTGTTGTTGTTGTTATTCAATTATTGTTCTCTTTGTTGTGGTTGCTCTGAGACAACGCCTTAGACTAAAAAAAAATGCCAGCGCATTTCTCTTCGATAGTTCGTTTATTTTTGCCAGCCAGCCAATCAAAGCTTTTGGGACGCGAGCGAGCGTTGGCGACGTTTTCAATTGTCGTACGGATTGCGGATGCGGATCACTCAGCAGCAGTGGGCAGGCCAACAGCAGGCAGCAGGATGCGCGACGCGCGTTATTCAAATGCAGGCACGTGACTGAGTCGGAGCGAAAGTTGCACGTTACTTTTATAAACAGCCAACAGCAAACGGCAAACAGCAAACGGCAAAAGGCATAAGAGCCTGCAACGACAACGACGACGATCTGGCAACGCTGCGCATGCACTTATACTCCCAACACGAGCTCTCTCTCTCTCTCTTTCTCTCGCGTTCTTACTTTGTATCTAGTCTCGCGTCTCTCTCGTGTGGGCCCGAGTCGAACAGCTGTTTTCAAAGACGGCACTCAGCTCGAGCTAGAAAGTTATTTGCCTTGGCGCTTTTTCCCAGCCAAGCAAACACAAACAAATAAATCGCGCGTATGCCAATCCACACAGACAGTGGCAACCGAAAAAAAACGCACACACACTGATACTATTTATCGAGTCTAGCACAAGTTTATAGTTGAGTTGGCATCGCTTATCGTCTTCGTTTTAGTTTTTATTTTATGTTCGGAACCGTCGCACTGACCAAACGCTAGCTCCTCAACCGCAGAACTAAGCGAAGCACGAATCACTTCCGGAGTTGTGCTCCGTTGTTCGCATTCAGGGAATTACAAATTTGGTCACATGCGCAGTTGGTCGAAACTGATTCGGACAGGCTGTCAAAAGACTCACAGCTGTTTGACCTACATACGAGAGTGCTCAGTGCACGTGTACTCTGAAGCGTGCACACACTTTTATGGAACAGTGTCAGTGTCAAAAACATCACAGCACAGCCAACGAGTCGAGTACATAACAAAAGTTCACCAAAAAACTTCATCAGGCCAAATAAGCTCTCTGAGACATCAACAGGTGCGCAGCTTGTTGTTAAAAGCTGTGCTAAGAAGCTGCAAGTTTCGCATTGCCTCCGCTTGGTGCGTGCCCACGCTAAGGCAAGCTTTTCACCACAATACAGAGCTTTTGAACTCACCTGTGCACGTATGGCAGCCAGATGTATTTGCTTGGCGCGCAAATCAAACTTCTTCATGGACAAATCCTCCTGCAACTCGTTAACCTTGTTATACAACTGGCCCTCAATGCCTCGTGTCTGTGTGCGATTCAGTGCATCAATGGAGTCCTACAAGAGAAAAGAAGAAGAACAAAATGAAAACATATGTATGTACCCACATAGAGATGTGTCGAATGGCGGCGCTGAATGGATTATGCACATAAGTCGTAAACTTTGTAACACACACCTGCAGCTGGCGTATTTGCAATTCCAATTCGATGGCCTCACGCTTAAGCGACTCCACAGCCGAACGCTGCGACAGCGTCGAGTGGCGGTCAAAGACGAGCTCGTTGCGCAAAAGGGGCGTCATCTCCTGCAAGAAGTACACAGTACAAATAAATTGCTTAACTTCTTAAAAATAAGCACATTTATTATTTTTTTATATTTACTTATTATCATTACAATGTAAAGTGTTGAAAATTAATACACTTATTCATTTCTTCTATTATTAGTTTGTGCAAAAAGTGAAGCTCAAGAATTGATAGTAGAAAGATTTAAATTGTATTTATTAAATCCCATTTTTTAAACTGTATATTAAATAAAAAATTCTAAATCCGCAGCTAATTGAACGGATGTTGTGAATCTCTCCATGAAGACGAATCCCGACGGCATTCGAAAAACAATGCAGTAAAATAAATAAGATTTAATCAAAAAACATATTTGAAATCAATAAAATAATAAATAATAATAATAAAATAGAAGATTTTTTTTTTTGTTGAAACTTGAATAAATTCTTATTATAGTGGAAATATCTTGATTTATTTCTTGCAGTGCATAATTGTGTGTGTGTGGGTGTGTGTTGAGGTGTTAAGTAATGCGTGTGTGTTTGCATTTAACATGTTTTACTTACACTATAATCGCCCGTCTCCTCGGCCGCCTCGCCCGGCTGCTGTGCCTGCGGTGGGGCAAAGACGCGTCTGGGCACCTTCTGCGCCTGCGATGGCTGTGCGAGGAGTCGCACAAAGTTGGCCAGATCCTGTTGCGGGGACACGGCGCTACATTGGCTGGCCAGGCAGCCGTATCGTCTCGCCTGCTCCGTGGCCTATAATTATACACAAATGGCATTTATGTGTGTGTGTGGCAACAATAAAAAGAGAAAAAAGAAAAGAAGAAACCAAACATTTAATAGCCATTCACATTTGCTGGGCAGTTGGTTGATGTCTGAGCGCACGCAATTGGCATTACATAAATTACCAGCGCAATTTTAGCAATTATGAGCAATTATTATAATGTTGATGAAATTGTATTCGAGGTGCAGTAACACAAAAAAAAAAAAAAAAAATAGAATTGAAACAAGAAAGAACTCAAATAAGCACTCAGTTGAATGTAAACCACCTGCTGCAGTGCAGTGGTGCAACAAATTGCTGCAGGCAGGCAGGCAGGCAGTCAGGCAGTCAGGCAGTTGTCATAAATCACAGATAATCACCTTGTTGGCAATTACATCGGCGCCCTGCTGCAGCGAATCGGACACAATGTTGCATAGGTCGTTGTGTATTTCCTCCAGTTCCTGCATCAGTTGGGGCAGCGTGTCGCCGTGATATGCCTCCAGCATCCCATTGGTGGCATGCAGCTGCTGCACGTACGCATTGTGCGCATCAATATATTCGGTGAGCGAGTGCTGGCTGGGATTCTGGCGATGTGCCACATGGCATTGTTTGTAGTCCAGGCGGCACTAAAGCGAAACGAAAGCCAACAATGAAAACAATCAAGATGCACCATTGTCAAGAGGCATGCAACATCGTATTGCGTATGCGTGATATAAGTTGCCAAGTGTTGTGTGTGTGGGACTTTAAGACATCTTCTGCTTGAAAGCACACACACACACACACACACAGACACAGACACTTAATAGGCCAACTGCTTGGCAAACATTAAGTGCAGCTCATTGATGAAAAGCCCTTGACGTGCCACTTAATTATGTTGCAAGTTGCTGCGTACCTTTGACAGCTTCTCTTCAGTCTTTGCGATTATAGTCTCAAAAGACTCCCTGTGTGTAAAGATTTTGCGACTTTGAACTTTGCGATGAAAGGACTTATCCAACATTGGTCGTGACACCTGAAAAGTACAAATGTATTATTATTATTATAATTATTATTATTATTATTATTACAGAAATGTCAGCCTTACATTCCAGCACTGTATGTAAGCTTACTCTGGGATTGGGATTGGGACTGGGACTGGGACTGGGACTGAGACTCCCCTCACATATCCATTCAATTTAGAGCTACATTTTAGGGTCTTTAATGATATGCTTTGGCAATATGTTTCAAATCATGGGTCTTTTGTTTGCCAACACGAAAATGCAAATCATTCTACAAAATGTAAATTAAATACACAAACATCAGCAAAAAGAAAAACAAGCAAAAAATGCTGTAGTCGAGTGAGCTCGACTAGGCGATACCCGAAGACCAGCTGTTAGCTAGATTAGGTTAGATTGTCTGTTGACCGGACAAAACCCCTTCATCGCATACTCATATAAAATTTAAGGAACAGTGCTAGGATGCCTGTAAGGAAAGTAGACCCCAAATGTTGTAGTCTTCTCTGACTTGGAGCTGGGCAGTGGCAGATGAAATGCAGAGTCGATTGCTCTACCTCTAAATTGAATCTTATAAGTTCGTTATCTAGTTTTATTGTAATGTAATCAATATACTTAATACCTGCTTGCGACAAACGTAGGCGCTCGTTTAGTCAACATTCAAAATAAACGCTTGTACAGGGTATATAAGAAAAAATTATAAAATGCGCATCTTCAATTACAGATGCGAATTCCCAGGCTGTGGACGCAACCACAAAAACCTATCCACATTAACCGTAATGTAATTGGTAATTAGATTGTATTGACATATATCCAGCAGATATATGCATTTAAATTGTGAGGTTTGCCACCAATTGATGATCCATTATTCAATTAACACATCAATGTGACAGTCATAGCAACTCGGCACTGATTGAATGTGTATCCGTGGTCAACACAGTTTATCCATTTATCGAAGTGTCAACAGGAATTACACACTCGCACACACATCCATACACACACATACATACACATACACACACACATACATACATAGACACACATATATAATTTCTTACCTGGCGGGAGAGGACGCTGGCCACCTCGTTGCAGGCCTGTGAGTCGGTTTCCGCTTCTTGCAGGAATGTCTCCCATGCCTGGAAGATGGCCAGGTGGCAGGCGGGTCTGTTCAAAATAAATAACAAAAGTTCATAATCATGGAATAGCATTTCAATTGATATCTCTGATGCCGATTACCTTTCCTTGCGCAGCTCGGCATTCTTCTTGCGGTAATTGGACACTAGAGTTTGAACGGCAGTTGCATGTTCCTCATACAATTGGGAAAGTGATTCGTTGAAATCGGATACTGCAATGAGATGCCAAAAGAAATGATGTATTCTAATGCTGTAACATTGTAAATACAATAACTAAAGCATTCAAAAACACTACTACTCAATTTTTAAATTTCAAACTCAATTTATTAAATGTTAACGACTTTAAAAAAAAAAGAAAAAATACTTTGTTAGCCAAATATGCAATGCGATCAATCAATCAATTCTAGTTTGCTTACACTCACAATATCGGCATAAAATTAATTTTTCAATTAATCTTGCAACAATATTATCTGTTAAGGAATTCCAAAAGACGAACGCCGCAAAAATGGTCAAAGTAGAAAATTCAAAGCGAAACTCAATTTGCATGCAACCAATGCAAAATTGAAGTGCATGTTTTTCCCCATTTTTTTTTTTTTCTTTTTTCAGTATTTCTTTCTACAGAGAGCCGAGCGAAACTTCGAGTCACAGTTTGCATACCTAATGTTGGTCGAGTTTCCTGGCCACTTCTTTGCCATTACTTAACTGCCCTCAACTGTACTTGAAATTCTTGCACATGCTCCATATCAAAGTGAACGAAAAACCAACTTTGTTATACATGGAATAATTTAAATCTGATGACAAATTTAAGCTTCCCGCTTAGAAAGATAATTAAAGAGTGGCGAATCCTTGATTTATTGTGCTGAATAGCTGACATAGCCTACATGTAGTTATTCCCATTGATTTATATTGTTTTCTTGACAATGTGTGTTATTTGCCAAATAAATTTGGAAGCAGCGAAACTATTTAAAATCCCATAGAGAAAGCGACTTAAGCAAAAATGCACAAACTACTAGAAGAAAATTTAAGTGCATTAGTTGCGGCAGGCAAATCCACACCCACGTCCACAACACAAACACACTCGCACACATTAACACACACACACACACACACACACACGCAAACACAGACTTGCCGCAGGAAAGCAAAGTGTTTCCAAAGCTATTCTCAAGGATTTTGCTTTGCTCTCTCTCGGCTTAAATGGACTCATTTTTGAAATGCCAGCTAAAAGTTTAAAGTGCAATAAGCCAAGGATATTAACAACTGAAGGTGTTTCATCAACTGATGATGTCCTTCTCAATGCGCACACGACGCGTTTACTTAATGTGAAAAGGCTGCTCGTAAAATCTGGAATCGCTGCCTCATATCAGAAAACTGCCTGTCATCGCCCTGTAATCCATCACGTTCACGACTATTTAAATATTTATGAATCCGCACTGGCTTCTAACCTTTAGCCTCGCTGTGCAGTAACCTGCCAGTTTATGAGCGATAAATATTATTATTGACTGAAAAATGTGAACTGCAGCAACAAGTAGCTTAAACATGCATTTCATCGAAGGTTAAAATTCCCGATTTCGATCATTTAAATGCCAGCAAAAATATCAATGTCTGCTGCAGTTGCTCAGCTGAGACAAATGAGAAACTGCCCCTTTGCGCTTGTACACAGGAAATGTTATTAAAAAGTTTTTCTGACTCGGACTGGGAGTTGAAATTACACGAGGACGCCCCAAATGCAATTTCTGTTCAGTTAGTGCGTTGCCGTTGGCAGGCAGTGTAACTTTTAGTGACACAAGTCAAAGTTATGTTCGTGCTTTGAAATGTTGTGCGTCCACCCAAAACAGCTGCCAAAAACACATTTTATAGCGACTCAACTGACAGATACCTATACTATATATACCCTATACCCTGTCCACTTATTACTTAACTTGTATTTTGATCTTGTCAAACTAAAAAAATATATTTTTAAAATCAACACAGTTTCCTTGTCACTCTGAACTTTAAGTTGCAAGCAACTTTTATTTACTTAACTTTGTAGTATTTTTATATGTTTTTGTTCCCCATTTTTATTGTATTCTTTTTCCTGCGAAATCAGTAAGCGTATTAAAATATATTTAAATGTTTTGCGCATAGAAAAAATTAAGCAACAAATGGGAAGTTGTAAATCCCCAAAACATTCTGTCAAATCAATTGACTTTTTTTTGCTGTTTATTTTGTTGTTTTTCTTTTCTTTTACGAATTTTCATGTTTATAGGGTATTGAAATTGACAAAATAAGTTGGAAAAAGTCAATGCAGCAGATGTGTGCTGTGGAAACAAACTTCAAAGTGAACAAAGAACATGGCAGTATCTTGGCCAAGATAGTTGAGGACCTTAAAGCTCTACAGCTGTAAATCTGACATATTGCCATGACTGCCAGATGTGAAAATGCTTTATTTATAAATGTTGGTATTGGAGAACGTGGACACATCAATTGAATAGATTTATGGCACAATCACAAGGTATCAGATAGAGATGCGCTGCGATTGAAATCAATAAAACATAAAGCGAAGATATCACATACAAAGCACACATAAAAACAAACACAAGCACACACACACGCACACACACGCACACACACACACACTCACACACACACTCACACACACACACGCACATCAGCTCATAGCCAAAACAATCGAGAAACTTATCAAATAAAGCACGACACACTCACTCGTGTCCAACAAATAAATTGTTTACTTGAGCATGAAACAAACGCCAATGCTCAAAGAAAAGTTATGTACTTTTTTCTAGATGTGTATGTGTGACATATACAGCTATATTTATATATATATATATATATAAACACATATGTATAGAGTTATAGCACAATATATCCATACGTATAGACGAAAGCAGACTCACCTGTTTTAATTAGCTTAAAGTTGACATTGTTTTGGGATTTGAAAGCCTCATTCAAACTGCTGTGACTGTAATCCTTGAGTACACCATTATAGGACGCCATGCTGCCCTGTGGGCTAAGGGAACCACCCCGTGGCCCCCTCCACCCGAAGAAACTACGATTTTTTGGACCACTTGAAGATTTTGCCAAAGAATCTGTATGAATGGAAAACACTTTTATTAATTCAAGGCACGTCGTTGTTTAATTACAAAATTGTAACAGAAAAATGCAATTAATTAAAATCAGGCAAAGAAAAGTTCAAATTTAATTAACTAAATAAGATAATTGTACTTATTATATATACATACATATATATATATATATATATATATATATATATATATAAACAATCAATTTAAACGAAGCAATTAAAGTAAAAGTAATTACTGGAAAATTCGTGAACACAAACAAACGAAACCAAAACGAATGCAAACAAATTCAATTTAATATCAATTTAATCAAATCTCAACCGCAGATCAAAATCGATTTGAATCGGTGTAATCGGCATTCGAGAAGCTTTAAGAAAATAAGTAAATAAGTAATACAAATTAAACAGCAGTCCGTCTGAGGTATGCGTTCGGTGTCAGATTCCCCATCCACTTAAAATAATTGCAGGCATGTTTGGAATTTTCCGTTTTCCCACTGTTTGTTAACTCGCATTGTGATAAATATGGAAAATATATTGGGCTGACGTGCCTGACAAGCTGTCCATGCCGTCCCCTCCTCCATTCCTAATGCCCCGCGAGCAATCAAACAAATCGCTGCCTCTCATATTTATGCATAAATAATGAGACGAGGTGTGTTTTGCTTGGCTTCTGCCTTTTCCTTTGTGTTTGCCATTTCTTTGGGTATTTTGAGTGGAGCCAACGGAAATTTCGAGTGCTTGGGCGCCCATTACAAAAGTCAATAGAACTCTGGTTGTATCGCCTACCCAGACATTGTCGAGGATATCCAATTGTAACTCATTTAAAATACAATCGATAAATGAAACGTAAATATTTTTGTTCGCCTTAAATGCTAGCTAAAAGGACTACTGGGGAATTTTTTTTATTTAACTGTTCGACTGTTTAACTCTACAGATTTTTAGCTATCCGCTTGTACATTTGTATAGCGGACGACGAACACACACACATATATATATATATATACATATCTAAGTAATCCAGAATGAAATTGCTGTCGGACATAACTGACCAAATACTGTGATATGAACCTGCTAGTTCCGCTTAACTTATTTTGGTAGACACAGTAAAAATCGGTTTGGCACTTAAGTTTTAACACTTTTTGGCAATCAAAATCTAGATTTCGAAAACAGTGGATTTCCTCAGACAGACTACTAAAGCAAAGTACATTTTCCATTCATTTTCCATTCCACAATAGCAGTTCTCTCATCCGAGATGAGCACACTCTGTAAAACTGTGCTGTATTTTTAAGCAATCTTCCTTTGATTACATATCTAAAATGTTGCTACTTTCCCAAAACTGAACAGTATTGTGGTTTGTGCACTTTCTTAACAATGCCATTAAACTTTTATTCCTTTTAAATAAAAATATTAATAGTTGGTCTGTGCTATTTGTGTGCCCATTGCTGTATATAGGAACATAAATGGCAAGTTTCGCGAGTGCAGGTTACATTTTGGCTGTTCGTAGACGAGGGAGTTTGCACAAGGCACACACGCTTTATTCCCAGCGGGATTAGAGTATATATATAACAGCGGGATGTCAGATAACTGCATTGTGGGGGGGCACACGTGGCGTATGAGTGTGTTTTCGTTGCGCGCACATAAGTATGCTATAGAAATTATTGAGCGACAGTAAATGACGCACAAGAGCATCAGCGGCACGGCATGTGTCATGTCTTGGTATTTTCTGTCTTCCACATGCACATTTAACGCGTACTTCTGGCACTGTCAGCTGGTGGATATCATGTAGCTTCACAATGATCACGTCTTGCAATGCTGTTAATTTAGTTGCATTTTGTGCGGTCATCAACTGTGCCGCCCTGTGAACTTTTTAAATGAATTTCAAAGTGGGCGACAAACTTGGCTCTTGTGGCATGGCAACCTTACGTGCCGCACTTCTTGACTGGCTGGGATGAATGTCGTGCAGGACCGTCGTTGTTGATTACATTTCACACGCAGCGAACCCAGGCGCATTCATTGTGAAGGCGTTCATCATTGCACAGCAGGATGTGCAGCATGCTCCTTCACTGCTTGACTGCTCCTTGGCTCCTTGCTCGTTGGCCTCTTTCAATGCAAAGCGCGTCAGCTTTTTCTCAGGAATTATGTGCGTGCCCATTTCGCGCACTCGCGTCCAAAAACCCCCTGCAGTGTTAGGTTAAGCCCCTTCAGCCCCATCTGCGTGTGTTTGCGTGTGTTTGCGTGTGTGTGTGTGTGTGTTTGCGTGTGTGTGTGTCCAGAGCATATGCAGGCATGCACATAATCCATTTTGCATGCGAGCAACTCAACTAGGAACGTGGGACGGAAATCATTGTATGTGTGATAAGAATTAGGATAAGCCGGCAAGGCAGGCAGTCAGCTGGGATTCTCGTTAAAGTCAAGCAGCTTAAGTACTCGACTCATTCCATTCTTTCTGTATATTCCTCTAGTTCTTTCTATTATTTCGCAAGGGTAAATATGCAAGTCATAGCGTGTAAGAAAAACTCATTTTTTGGCATGCAAAAGCTTGCATTTCCTTGCAGGGATTGCCTCAGAGCCGTTGACTGAGTGTGCACTTCAGTAACAATGGACTAAAAATGTGAAAAATTCTTAATAAATGTGAGCTGTCATCTCTCTACTGTTACTACTGTTTTATATATAGTTTTAATACCACTGCAACAAGCAAAATAGATAGCTTTCCACCTCAATAAACTATTTTTGAAGATACAAAAAAAGGTTTTAAAAATGAGAATCTGTTAACTTTAACTGATATAAAAAACAAACTATAGTCGACATATATAAAAGAGGAACTGAATACACAATTGAAACCACTAAGTTATTAAATTTTAAACGATTGTAAAATATAATACGATTTCGAATGAACTTTTTGCACAAATGATTTCTGCTTTTTATTTTTGGTTTCAGCTCAACTATTCATCCTATTTAAATATATATTTCATGCGGGTATACCCGCATTCGTAGAGCAAAAAGCAACAATTTTCTCAAGCCATTTTTCTGCTTTAATCTCCAAAAACATTTTCTCATTTTCATCTGTGCAACAAAGTGGCGAAGCAACCAACTCCTGCAAGGTCATAACAAGCCAAAGCCATAAAAGAAAATCATGTGAACAATAGCAGTTAAAAACTTGCAGCACTTTGGCCGCATATTGTGCAGCACTCAATCATTCAATCACTCCACCAACAAATCAGTCAATCAATCAATTGAACTAAAACAAATGAACGTTCCACGCAACAACAAATTTATACACAATATGTTTTCTTGGCAGCTTGCGCAGCAGCAGCAGCGGCAGCAGCAGCTAAACTACTAACTGTAAACAATTTGATTAGCTTGTGAAAAAGTAGTTTTTGGGGGCACCTGTCACCTTTGGAGTGCGCACCGCCACCAGCGCTCGCTGGAGCCCCTGCAGTCGCACCCGCCGCACCCGCCGACCCGCCCGCCCCCATCTCATCCCAATGATCTGCACTGCGGGAGCGCGCATTAAGCGCTCGCTCGCGTTCCTCCCGCGTCGAGCGTGCAAATAGACCGCCTCCCGTGCTGCCGGCGGGACTGCGTGTCCGCGGTGAATCATAGACACCGGCATAGTTCTCCAGCGGTGGTGAGTAGCCGCGTCCGTCGGGCGACGCCGTATTGGGTGTGCGTGGATGCAGCTTAATGACCGGTTCGCGTGCCTCAAAGAATGCATCGAAGTTGTTCTGGCGCAGGTTCTCGCTGCTAAACACTGGATTCTCCACATGCACATGGACATCCTCACGCAACCGATTGCTCTCGCGCGTATCCGAGGAGGTGGAGCGTCCCAGACGACCCAGCGGTATGTGGAGCTTTGGACGCAGGCGCGATTTGCTGGTGGTGGGTGATTTATTGCCGCCACTGCTGGTGGAACGCTCTGGGGGCAGATCCATGGGCGACATGGGTCTACCCCAGCCGGGGCCGAAGTGTGCATGTGTGGGATCTGGTGAGGGTGGCTCCAAAAATATGCTCGGACTCCTCGAACGTGCAACGACCGAGCCTGTGCCCGATGCACCAGCTCCAGCTCCAAAGTCGTCTAAACGCTCCTCGTCGTAGGCGCTGCTGCGCTGGAATGGTGCGCGTCCTGCTGCAGAATTGCTGCCGCCTTGCATGCTGGCATCATTATTATACATGGACGTGCTCAGCGGACGCTGATGTGGCAGCTGTGGCGACAGTGGCGCCCTCGAGCGATTACTCCGTACGCTGCTCCGTTTGCTGCCACCGGAGTTGTGATTGGAGTGGGTCAGAGAAGCGCGCGAGGTGCGTCGTGTGGGTGTCGGTGGCAAACTCTGAGACTGAACAGCGGATGGCTTTGATTGTTCAAAGTTAAAAAAGTTGTTGTTGTTGTTGCTGCTGTTGTAGTTGTTGTAGTTGCTGTAGTTGTAGTCGTAGTTGTTGCTGATGTTGTGCGGCGAGCTGGGCGGCGTTGGTGCGGCAAATGTGGCGGGAATGCGGATCGGTATGGGCTGCGGTGGTGCAGTGGCAACAACTGTGAAGCTGTCGTTTGGATAGCTAGTGGCGGCAGCGCTAGTAAAGTTGTTGCTGTTGTTGTTCTTGTTGTTGTTGCTGCTGGAGATGGCGTTGGCGTTGGCGTTGGCGCTGTTAGCGGCTCTAGCTGGATACTCGAGTGGTATCAGTGGCTCGGGTAGGCAATCGAGTGAGGGTCGCGGTTTCACACGTGGTGCAAAGAAACCATAGGTCATCAAGATGAGCTCATCGGCGGGATATATTACGTACATTCCTCAAGCTCGCCATGTGACATGGTTGGCAGCTCGCTATATAATTGTGCAGAGAGCTCGCGGGCTAATCCCTAATTAATAAGGCTAACAATATTTAATAAGCTCTAACTAAATGTTTAACTAACTAGTATCGTTAAAGGTGAGTGTCTTTTCTTTTTGTTTTTCTTTTTTTTGTAGGGATCAATGTGTATTACAGTTGCAGTTGCAGTTACAGTTACAGTTACAGTTAAAGTTTTGTTGCAGTGTCAAGTTGTCTTTTATAATGTTGTTGTTCGGTCTCAGAGTCTCACTAACTGAATTTTCAATAATAACTAAAGAGAGTTACGTTTAGAAATTATAAATTAAATACATGTAAACATAAGTATTAACTATTTGGCGCGTACTTTATTCAACTTGGGTTTATCACAAATCGAGTTCGAACTTTTTGGGATCGTGTTGTCATTTAGAGCGCTGCATGCTGGCAATAACTGCAAAAGAAAGAGAAATACTTTAGTTAAGACTCTGAAATTCTGATAACTCGTGTAAGTGTATAAAATATCCGAAATGTTTCAAAGATTGAATCTAATATTCATTTAGAAAACAAGCTATGCCCATCAAAATTTAAGTCTTGGCAAGTTTTGCGATTTTATATAATCTTAATAATCAACCAAATTATCTCAACGATTAATATTGTGAAAATCACACAGTATAATAATAAATTTCAGTATAAACAGCAAAATAATTTATACCCGATAAATTTTTCAGCATATTTTGTATATGTTTATTGTATGTTTATTTATTAATCGGGTCATTTTCATTATTTAATTATAAACAAGAAAGAACGGATTTGTTAGGCAAGCCGAACAGTCCATATTCTTGCAGACAGTAGTTCATCTGCTGACATTTATAATTCATTATGAATTTAAAAAGTAATCTGATTACCAAAGTGATTTGACTACCTGCCGCCAAACAAACCCGATATAATCCAACGTCAATAAATATACCAGCAAAATTGAAGTATAGATGGACATGTCTCTATCAACTCGACTTCTTAGGCTGATCACGTCTTTTTCAAAACGTTCGCATCTTTATAACAAAATTAAAATACCATCTGCCAGAGTATACAAATAAGACTAATTAAATTTTAATCATAAATCGTATGCCACATATAATAAAAGTGAATAAAAACAAACTTTGGCTGCAGAGAACAGAACATCATTAATTTATTGAGAATTTCGCATACGAGAAAATTTGTGGCCCATTTTATTGTTTACCATTTCAATTCATTGCAAAGGAAGTTTTATGTCCAAAAGTTAGAGTGATATGTTCTCTGGCCGGGATTCGGCATTGGTTGCACAGTCGCACAGCTGCTGGACAAACTTTGTGGCAGTTGGCAAAACAAAGTTGCGTAACTTTACCACATGGCCACATAGCTTTGGCCAAAATGCCTAAGCTTAGCCCAATTGGTTTAGGCATGTTTTGTGCTCAGGCCACAGATAGCTCATAATGGAGCATTTAATGGATCTGAACTTCACACAAAATTAACAGAATTTATGTACTTAGCTCTCGCTGACAGGGCAGTTTATTTCGCACATTAAAGGATTAATATTAAACCAACACTCTGTTGGAAAAATTAATGAGCCATATTAATTGATATGATCGATGATGAACTAAATGAATGCAAATTGATTGTAAAATGTGGCAATTAAGGAACTGGGAAAGCTGTTGGAATAACGGAAGATTTACTGGTCTTCCCATAAAATGTAAATAAAATAAAACATATCTCAAAGATATGCTCTGAAAATCTTCAAAATAATGAATGTTTTTAACCAAATTGATATTGAACCAAAAATGTATTCCAAATTATTATTAATTAAGGTTAAAATCCGTTTATACAACTATTTGGCATTTTGGCTGATAGATTTATGGCAAAGACCTGTTAACCTGCGAGTAGATAAACTAAACAAACCTGAACATTTAAGTAATATTGAGATTCCTTGGCCAGGGGCCAGCTGAAATCTACACGGCATTGAAATCGCATTACGCAGACAGCGAAACAAAGGCGAACGATTAAAGTCGTATTGTCATAAGCTGGCAGGCCTTGTACCTACAAACAAAAAAAAAAAAAAGTCGAGAAAAAAATACACATAGAAAATGCATCGATAAATGAATTAATAATTAAATCATGAAAACCATTTGAAGGCAATTCGCATTAAAAAGAAATCACAATTTCACAAAAGCTGAATTATTTATAAGCTTTAAAGTCGTAATGCCTGCCAGCTAAATAGTGGTGGCAGTGGCAGTGGCAGTCTCTCGGTGTGAGATGTGTGTGTGGCAGGTCAGCGTGCGCATAAATAATTACGCATATATATATATATAAATGCCAGCGATCCAACTTAACGTTGGAAAAATGGTCAAGGGAAATGGCAACTTGGAGAACTGATGATGATGGTAATGATGATGATGGTGATGATGATGATGAAAGTGTTGGGGTGATGCTGATTTTGGCGTTGATGCTGATAATGCCTTGCATTATATATGCAAATATTTTCTTTCCATTTGCGTCGCAGCGAAAAACACACACACTTCCATTCCAAATAATTGAATTGTTTTGGCAGCACTTTACCAGCTCGTTAAATCTGTCAACATTGATCAATCATCCAAACCGTGGGGGAAGTTAGACGCTTTTATATTCGCAAAAGGTGAGGCGAAAGTTTCACTACATTAAAGTCAGGTCGAGAACTCTGGATGCGTTCGCCTTGAGAAGGGGAAACTATTTTGCACCTGCAAGCCATCCCACATTGAAAATCAGTAAAGTAGCGCACAAATTGCCAATTACCAGCGATCTCATAAGGCAGAAAACACAAAGTGAGTGCAATTTTGTAAAATGCACAAACATACTCATAGTAATGAAAGCCAGAGCAACATTAACAGCAACACCAGCAGTTACAGCAAAAAGCAATAACCATGGCAACGAACGCTTTGGGCAACTTTCAGGCATCTATGTGCCATAACAGTGCAACAGTAAGTAGGTATACAAAATTAATTAGCTACAAAAACAATGCAACAATCTGAAGCTGTCTGCCAATGACAGCCCTGACAGCGTCATTGAGTGGGCGGCGCGTGGGTGCACAGAGGGAGGGGGTGGAGGGAGCAGGGGCGGCGGTTGGTTGGGCGCCTGCCGGTCGCTACTTTGAAGTAGTTGCGCTTATCAATGATGGCTGCATAGCAAAGTTGTGTGAAACTTATCGATACTTGTATACACTACAACAACTGGTATATATCTAACATGCCTACAGAATATCAATATGGATTTTAGATGCAAATTGTTTATTTAATATTAATTTAAACACGTTTAATATAAACTGACTTAGTTAAATTTCTTAACTTTAAATTATAAATGTTGTAGAGCTTCTTCGACCCTTTCCATCTTCTCTCGACGTGAGCTGTTCTTTTAATGCCTACTTTCAATAATCATCGAGACAGACAACTCTGCGATCTGTGATATATACTTCTATCTCGATAAGCATGCTAATCCTGCATCTATTAATTATTATCAGAAAGTTGAAATATTGTTTTCAAAACGATGCAGCCGATATTTGATGAATTCAAAAATCTAATGAAATATATTATAATTATGCATGTCGATTTATAATGCATCTCATGTTTTGGGGAAAACACACTCACACATGTAAATATAAAAATAATTGATATATTATATATTCCCCGCACATGCATATTTTGTACATTTGCATAAACTTGCACACCGAAAGATTTTTAATCATATTTATCATTCTAAATTTGACAGTTAGCAGGGGCTTATTAATGCAATTAGATTTACATAGGAATGTGACTGGTTGTATCCGCTGTGCGCATTGCATTTATGCAACAACAAAATGCACCTCAGCATCAATATACTAAATAAAATTAAAATTAACTCACATATAGTAAGTGTGGAAAGTCAATGTTCTTCGACATGCTCTGCATATTCACATCACTTTGAACAAACAGGCAACATTGCAACACAAATCGGACTATTTCGGTCATTTCGCTTATATTCACCTGTGACTCAAAATACTAAATCAGTGTTGTTGCAATTTGTATCAGTTTGTAATGAATGTATGTATATATAATTTACATTCACTCAAAGGTTGTTTGTTCAAAATACCTTGTGCTGAGCAGAATGACGCATTTACTAATGATATATTTTGTAGTCGAACAGATTCTTTGCATAGGCCGCATTTAGTTAATGGAATGTGTCTGCTGTAAGCTGACAGACAGTTCGACAGGTTAATATATATATATATATATATATATATATAGGGTGGTGTGTTATATATTTTATGACAAAGCCAATATACCCAAGCCCTGCTAGTGCGTATATCATAATCAGGAAACGCGACGGCAAACAGCAGGCAGGCGACGAACAGCGAGCAGCAATCAAAATGTTATAAATAAATAAACAGCAGCTGCTTTCTACTCTCGCTTCTCATATCATGCTCGGCCCTCCTGTACCTCCACCTCCTCCCCCACCCCACCCCATCCGTCCTGTCCAAGCTGTCGCCCAATGCAATTTTTGGCAGCCTTTGCATTGGCAACGAAGCATCTCAACGACTTGACGATATGGCCGCGATATGCCCAACAGCGCCGAGGAAGCAAACTTGACTCAAGTGCATTGTCAAGGTACGGGGCGCTGTAAAGAATTCCCAGATACATAGATGCAAAACATATGTGGAAATACAATTGGATGGCAGTGCGATCTGAAACTGTTGTTTGCAATGTTTTTGCCATGTGTTGTATTTATTTTAATTTCGTTTCGTATTTATTTTTATTATTTGTTTTGTGCACACACATAAATTAACAAAGTTTTTTTCTTTTCCCGTTTTGTTGTTATTCTATAAAACAAAATTCTTGAGATTCTTTGCGAGCATAGCGTTACTATAGCTACTTCGGCATTAGTATAAAAGTATCTAAGACTAATCAATTGCGTAAGCTGCCTTCAAGCGCACAAATGTTACCGTGCATAACAATGAGAAAATCAACCCAAAAACTCAACTCAACCCCACTGTATAAAAATACCATTTTTTTTTCTTTCGGGGCTGCAATATGAGTCTAATACCTCATAATTCCCTTATTGAAATGTGTTGGCTTTGAGACTCTTACGCGCACTGATGACGGCAACAGACACAAAAGTCGCATCGCAATGAATAATGACAGGTAGTATATATGTATGTATGTGTATGTATGTGTGTGTGTGTAACAAGGTATGGGGAATGTGAGATGGAGGGACGGCTGATGGTGTCAACCCTCACAAAACGAGCTGTCGAAAAAAGCAAACTCAATTTATGAAAACATTCATGCAGCTAAAACATACGCACACAAATTGCGTATGCGCTGCGTGAGCCCATTTTGAATCAACGTAGGCTTTCCTCACTTCCTTTCTCTCTCTCTCTCTCTCTCTCTCTCACTCTCTCTCTCTCACACACTTCTAACCGCCTTACCTTAACAATCTTTTCGAAGAAAGAGCCTATTATAGGAGTAGACTTTGTGCTGTCATATAATGTACACAAATAAGTGAATAAGTCGTGAGTCCTTTTACTAGGAAATTGGCCAATTTTTTGAGTGAGACTGAGAGACAAATGCATTTAGCTAATTAGATATAATTTATCAGGTCAACTAACTGATTGATGGGCCCATTTAAAATGTTGCCATAAATGCTCAGTGTAATTGTGTTGCCCTTGTTAAGGATAATTTAACTATTGACACGATTTTCCAATTCCTTCACATTAATATTTGCAAGCATATAAGGATATCAATCATATATAACCGGACAGTTATCGGACAACTCTTTAAGTTTTTTGACGATAGCTTAAACCAAAGTTTGGCAAAGTTTAATAAAGAGCGATTGTTCAAATATATGCAGAGCATGCGTGAAACTATTTATTATTTATTAAGGAGAAAATAGCTGAGTATCCGCTGTACCAAAGATAAGATGGCTAAGATCGGATTACTATATCATAAATCTAATCATTTGCCTACAGGGGGTAATAAATCTGAGTAACACACACGATAACTGTTGTGTCTTATCTTATTTTGGTTAAAACTCACCGTTTAGAGCAGCTGCAATTGTATTAAATAAAATCCTTTGTTTAAATTTATTGCTGACATTTTAAGTTGGAAACGGATTTAGCACAAATGTTTATTATGATTTATGACACGTATTTATTGTGTATTTTCTGCAAGCAGACAGAAATCAATTTGCGTTCGGTTTTGTTGCTTTTCTGTTTTCTGTTTTTTTGTTATTTGTTTTTTGTTATTTGTTTTTTTTTTTTTTTGTTTATTTCATGTATAGTTTTTCTCTGTTTTTGTTACAAAGTTGTTGATGTTTCTGGTTTGCTCGGAGCTCGTTAAAGTCTATTTTGCAACACTTAAGAGGCAGCCACTTTCCACTTTTTACGCTCATATAAAATATATGTATATATTTCCCACACACAGCGATAAACCACTGACACGGCAGACAGACGCACGACTCGACTCGACACGACACGGCACGAAACGGCACGGCACGGCACGACAGGGCACGACACGGCAAAACACACACGCACGCCCGCACACACACACACACACACACGCAGCCAAAGAAATAGACGCCCGGCAGCAGCGCGAGGCAGTCAACGACGCCGATCGACGATGAATTTAGACTGAGGCTCAGCAGCTTGTAAGCATTTCAGTTGCTATTTTGACAATATTTGTTTTTGTTCCGCTTTTCTTGCTGCTTTTTTTTTGCTGTGCTTTCGTGCGATTCTCATGGCTCTTCGTGTGTTTACTCTTCGCATATTGTTATTATATGTATACGCTGTATATATATATGTATGTATATGTATATGTATATATATATATATATCTATGCTATATTGGCTATTGGGCGTCGATCTTATCAGTTCGCTTTTAGTAGCCACATTCTTGTTGGGCCCACACAGACGCACACATTCACAATTGATAAAATGTGTATTTATTGGCCTGGCCAAAATACGCGACGAATACGTGATGTACAATATTTACTTTGATGACGTCGCCAGCAATAATCGAGCGTTTAGCATTTAACGCGCTATCCAGTCAATGACGTCACCATTTGTCACAGCTGTCACGCGCATATAGTGCCTATTTATAGATGGCACGGCCAACGACGCCGCCGCAGCATCGGCCAAACGCTGCCTGCTAATTTTCGCAAGTGTTTTTCATTTTTTTCTGTTTTTTTTTTGTTTTTAAATTTTGCTTTGCGCTTTTCTTGGATCGGCCACGTCTGAAAATAGAAAGCAAAGCACAAATTGTGTGTGAAACTCATTGAAATGTTTGCGCGTACTCAATTTTAATATACGCAAATAAAACTGGCAACACTAGCTGCCGCAGCATCAGCCGTAGTAGCAGCTGATTACTCATACGCCCCGTTGGCGCGTCAGTAATCACTACGAAGTAAATTGCATTAAAATTATAAATTGCATCACGCGCAACCGAAAAAACATCGCCAGATGCGTGAGTGTCAACGTACATTTACACCAGGTGAATGCATCTCTCCGCTTGAAGGCTTCGCTAGCCCAATTTTCAGTTATTATTTATGAGGCCTGTCACCAGGGATGCGGAGACATGCAAATTCAATGCATGATACCAACACGCACACACAAATGGGCGCAGCTAAGATAGACCCCATTGAAATGATTAACGCATTGCATTTTGAATATTATTGGATACTTATGGAATTGAGTTAAAGGACATAGTTCTTGGTTAAGGTTTTATAACAACAATCTGGCTGTAAATCGGCTGGATAATAGCCTACATAACAGACAAACAAATGTCAAACTCAACCCAACCTAAGTAATCTGTTTGCAGTCGCATCAGCCAATCATCAAATCACCAATAATTTTTACCAAATTGTTTCTATTTTGAACTGGCATCAGCATCAGCAAATTGATAATTTACTCTTTGCAATTAATTTGACAATCATATTTGCTGCTTGGTACACATTTTGCTTGTTTTCCTCTTTGTATAGCATTAAATACATTATTTTTGAATCTATCATAAAATTGAACAGAGTTTAATGCCAATGATTTATGTTGTTTTTATTATATTGTATGATGCGGACAAATTGTTCAGTTGCGTGGCATGAAAACAGGAAGTGGTGTGTGTGTCTGTGATCCACATATATACCAAGGTTAAAGGAGGTTCAATGGCAACAAACAGCTCAAGCGCAACAGACAGCGTCCTGAGCTAATAATATTATATGTCGAGTATATAGTGTCTTAAGCCAGAGTGTCTTAACAGAGATTGTGAGACGAGTTGAGGAGTTCGTGTTCCTAGAATTAGTATTTATGGAAGAAAAACAAAAACGAAAACAGCAACACGTCCAGGATGTGTTTTGTGGAAATGTAGTACAAACAATTTTAACTATACACACTTTGGGTATATTTGAGACTAACAAATAACATGTTGTGTGTGTCTGGGTGGGTTGTGTGTCCTATTCTTGCTGCCACTTGTGACTTTTAGAAGCTATAACCGCCATCGGGCTTCCTTGGCTGTGTGGCATTAAACTCCACTCCGTCATTAATCACCGGCTGTTCTGAGTCCTCCTCAGCTTCGGAAAAGTAATTACTGATAATGTCACAGGCGTTCTCATAGATATCCTCACTTTCGTGCAGCTGCAACTTCTCCAGCTTATCAAGGCCACCTAACTGTTCGAACATAAGAAATATGTCCTTAGGGTCGCCCAGGTTCTTGGCTAAATCGAATAGATTGGATAGACCTATTTGCACCACCATGATAGTGTGTGGATCCGGGACATCAAGTAAATCAACGAATGGCTTAAATATCTTGTACTTGTCTAGGAGATCCACAACTTGCTCATATGTACCAGATATGGTCGTATTGCTCACCGCACAGGCGGCCTGCTTTCGTGCCTTGATATTATTCACCCCCAGCAAGTGGCATAGCTGCTGAAATATGCCCGAATCAATGACGGCCTGAATGTGTGCCTGATTGCAAGCCGTAATATTGCTGACAGTCCAAGCAGCCAACTCGACTATATTGCGATCGGAGTGTTCCAACAACTGGCCAAGTGGTTGCAATACCCCAGCTGCGATGACCACATCGGTGTGTTGATCAGTGCCAGCAACAATAAGGCCAACGCAACGCAATGCTGGATATAAAATGTCCAGCTCAACAGATTTCAGTAGGTGCACCAAGCGTGGCACTGTTTTCGCATCGATTACAGCTTGTAGTTTATCATCATGCGTCACCGAGCACAGCGCCCAGCAAGCACAGGATTGAACCTTCGAGTCATTGGAGACCAGCAATTCGGAGAGCATTGGCAACAGGCGCTTCACTTGCTCCAAGGTTGGCGATGGGCGTTTGCCGCACAAATTTACCATTAGCCAAACAATTTTGCGCAGCAATGAGAGTGGCATTCCCTTATTGATCAGTGGCAGAATGCCACCGATCACATTATGCTGAATGACGATGTCGCGTGCCGGAGCACCATCACCGGCAATGTTGCACAGTGCCCAAACAGCCTGCTCAGCTATATACATATTATCAGACTGAAGATGATGTATTAAAAGCGGCACCGCATTCTCATCGATGACACACTGTGTCTGACCCGATGTACCGGCAGCAATGTTGGTCAAAATCCAGGTTGCCTCAAACTTAAGCAGATCGTTGCTGTTGCATTTAAGAAAACGTACACAGATTGGTACAATTCCATGGCCAATCATTAGATCAATGGGTGGATTGCTCTCGTTGCAGGCCAATTTGCGCGCCAGCTCCATGCCCAGAAGTTGTCTCTGTGGATCCTTACTGTTTATGGCAGTCACAATCCCTGCGATGAACTTCGACAGCGTGAACTGATTGGTGTACAGTTGCTTCAGGGTCTTGATATCCATACTTATTCACCATTTACTAATAATGGCTTCAATAAATATGCGGAATAAATTACTTTTAGCAATTAATACGAGTGGAGGCAGCACAAACAGAAATTTTACAAAATTTAGGGACTTATTTTTCAACTGGTTGCCCTGTGACAATTGTCAATCGACCGACAAAATTAACAAGTATCAAGTACTTTGAACATATCTTTGATATCAAAATATGCCGAACTATGCTGATTGCAGCAGTCGACTTGTTTGCCCATGAGAAGCTAGGTTGGATCTTCATCCATATTCACTCACCATTTGCTAGCTGCCGTTTAAAATATGTCAACTGGTTTGCGTAAATTTAGCGCTAGATCAAAGAAAACTCTGGTTACAAGTGGAATTCCCCCTAGCCGAAGTTTAGGTTAGGGTTTATAATTAAACGAGTTTGCACTGTGATTGCATTGTTAACACCCAAGCGATGACTGTCAAATTGTTGTATGGCACAAATTTCAATTATAACTTGCAAATTTTTGGCAGCAACAGTAAATGCAAACTTTAGTAATTGGTTGCCTTGGCAAAACGAACGGAAAAACACAGCTCAACTACGCGAAAGTAGGTGTACACAACTGAGTCTGCCACACAAAATATCAATAATGAAATTACACGCATGCCTTTGATGTTCAGGTTGACTTTAATTGCATCAAATTAAACTAATATGTTAACGCCATCAGCACGCCAAGCTATACGTACGGGCCACCTCTTGGTGGATTGGGATTGAACGGCGATGGTCGGGTATCAAAGATGGGTCCTTGGCGGCGACTCGCCTCACTGAACGCGACACCAAGCAGCAGCAACAAAGGCAGCAGCAGTGGCATCAGTTTACTTGGATTGAGTTGCATCTTGTCTGAAATCCTCTCGTTGGGTGATTGATGGTACAGCGTCCAAAGAGACAGCGTTTTTATATAGACCTGAGACCGGCTATTGTTCGGGGGATTTTCGCTGATAAGCTCGGACAAATGCCAGCAAGGTTAGATAAGCATTATTGCGAAGGGGATGCACTAATGCGAGTATAAAAAAAAAATCACCAAAAGAAAAATGAGACAGTGAAATGATGTAAAAAACGCCGCTGTTGAATATTTAAGTTTTAGCTCGAAGGTCGCTGCCTAGTCAGCCACTTTATGTTGTTTTTTGCATTGCAAATTTTCGAGCAACAGCAACGATTAGTGTCAAAAGCAACTTCAACATGCGTCAACACAACGAATGCGCCCCACAGAACAAGCACTTGGTCTTGTCGTGGCTGCCATTGCACTAGAGGAAATAGCTACACTTTTTCGGGTAAAAAATTAGTTGGACAAAGAATCGAACCAGAGAATGATTACCTCAAACCAAATACCAAAATCTTAAATTTAATCAGAATCCATTATTTATATATATAATCTAATATTTCTAGAATATAATGCCTGATCTGGCCGAACAACAATTACTTTCAACTTGTGTTTTGATAGCCGCTTAAATATTAAACTCTTTTTGTGTCTAGTGTATTATGTAATAAGCTTTTCTTATAAGCAATAAATTTGACTCGAAACCTTATACACTTTGTTTATTTATCAATTTCAAGGTCAGACCTTATCAGCCTGCTAAGTCGCTTATAAATAATGTTTGTCGTACTTTTTTTTAATATACAATATTTTAAATAGAGGGATTGCTTTGCAAACAGGGGCTTTTTTTAAATTCTATATATATATATATAGTAAAATACATGATAAGCTGTAGACTTATCTGCTTAGTCGACAGTTCGTCTAGACTACGTTGTTGAGTTCACAATTTATGCAGGAAAAATGTGTTGTTTTTCTATAGTGCGCCCCAGCTACTGCAGCTGTTGTTGTTGTTGTTGCTGTTGCTGATTTTGATGCCACTGTCAGTTGCACTGCCTTAGCCCCTTTGGCTCTATTAGAGCACTTTGTTAGTTTGCAAGCAGCTTCAGTTACCACCCGAAAAAGTGGGATTTTTGTGTTGGTTTGTGGGGGTGGCGCCCAACTGACATTTTGAGCATTTTTCCCATGCACTTTAGCATTTGTGCGGTTACTTTATATTTGGACCGCATGGGTCATTAGGTTAAGTAAATTTGCACTTTGGGGCGCCAAAAATCAATAAAAAGTGAAACTTTCCTCATCAATGTGCTAAAGCTAGAAGTGAAATTTATCGGGTAATCAAATATACAAAGCATACATCAAGTTTGTATGTCGACGAACACACACACAAAAAAACATTAATCGAATAGGCCAAGCCACAAAATCAACCAGCAAAAACAAAGAACAAAAAACAAAAAACAAAAACAAAAGCAACTAGCAAAATGAAGACGAAAATTAAACAGAAAAGGAAAAACTTTGATGCACCTAAACAAACGCTGAAATGTTTACTTAACAATCGATGGTTTGGTTCAGTTGCTGTTGCCTATTGTACTATATTGCCCTTTATGTGTTGGCCATCGCTTCCTATAACCATAAATCAAAACAAATGTGTTGGCCAGCCGAACATTAATCGATTTTCATTGCTAACGCATAAAAAAATATATTGAGCTATTGTTTACATACAACTGCCGAGATAAACAGTTTGCTGAAAATTATAAACAACACTAGCCAGTAAATTTTTTTTTGGGCAATTTGTCAATAGTATTGCGTCAATTGTAACCATTACATAACCACAACTGAAAGGGAGCAGCGGGAGAGTTAGGGGCAAACAGCAAGTCTGCCGCAGCAACTTAAATTCGCTGACATTTCTCGTATATCCTGGCAAATTTCTTCATTGCTGCGACTGACATTTTGAGTTATTTGCTGGAAATTGTTGGGCTGCGTCTCAAAGTGAAAGCCTAGCGACCCGTAGCAACGCAAACAAACCAGTTGGAAACAGCTCCCAGCAAACACAAGCCGAATCGCTGGCTCAGTCCCAGTCCCAGTTCCAGTCCCAGTCCCAGTCACACAATGCCAGCAAATTCAGCACAGTTAAATTTCATCGCCCAAAATCACAACAGTGAAAAGTTGAAGTTGCCGCGATTGGAAAGAAAACGATAGCAATTCAATTGATGTCAAATTGTTGACATTTTAATGCGGCTCGCATAAAATAAACTTAAGCAGCAACTGTACAGATCCATAAAGTTCGATTTGTATATGCTATATATATACCCATACAAGTCATTAGTATTGATAATGAATCCATTCACGTCTGGTTCGCATTCAATTTGAATACAGACTGTTTATTTACGCCATGATTTGGCCCGTTTTCAAATGAATTCATTGGAGCATTTGTAAATATTCTATATAGGCTTATGATGTTCCAATGTACACGTAAATATACATTATATTCTCCCAAAATTGTATTGCGTATAGTTTTCCATATAGTTTATTTTTTGAATAAAAATTTCTCATTTTAAATTAAATATGCATTTATTATTATCAAAGAAAATTATATAATTTTCAAATTATGGCGTAATTCACAACACAATAAACTATCTTTTAAGCAATTAATGTGCCAAATCAAATCTAATAAGCTCTCAATCAAATCAAATGATAAACTTACGTCAATCAATTAGCTCAAGCATGATAAATCGCATTTGACAGTTGAGCTTTGCGCAACTTTACCTCAATTTTACTGATATATGCCATACTATTATTCTTACATCGGAACTTTAACGATAGTCGACTGAAAATCATATTATAAGTGAGTGTTGCACGAGCGGCACGTGCCATATGCTTCTCAAAATGCTCCAACTCTCAGGTGGCATAAAACTAATTTACAAGTTTTCGCGCCAACGAGTTTGAAGTTTGAGCGTCAAGTTGCAGAGGTGTGAGTAAAATACTTATATTCTATATACATATATATATATATATATACGATATATACTAAAAATATGGAATGGAGGGCAAGAGCAATAAAAATGTCAGCCAAAGTGAATAAATACAAAGGCCTAAACAGCAGGCAGCTTTGACATAAATATGCATTTTTTCTAGATGCGTTCATAAATAAAAGCGATGAGAACTGTGAACTGTTTGTAGGTGAACAGAACTGAGGAGTTTCGGTCGTTTTGGGGCCTTAGTATCCATTTTGTTGCTCGGAAGGCAACTCTGAGTTCATTAGGTATGTATGGGAAGTCTAGTCGGCCTGGGGATGCAGGCAGAGAGAGAGTTCGTGGCGGGGGTGGAGTTTGCTTTAATGCCATGCTCCCCCAAAATGTCTGCCATAAATGTGCCAGCTCATTTTGTAAGTCTTATGAGGCGCACAGGGGGCGGGGGATGTGAGGTGCACAGCGGGGGGCTGGGAGGGCGTGCCAGGTTGCCTGCCTCTAATTTTATTCAGACAAGATGAAGCACTTAAGAATGCGTTGTGGGATATGAGCGGTTGGGGTAGCGTTGTGTGGCAATCGTCTATATGTCAGTATCTCTGGGTATATCTAATATCAGATGGCCCCCCCGCCCATTGGTGTGCACCTCACGGACAGGTGATAATGAACATACTTAGAAGCGAGCAACGAGAACTTAGAGGCAGCGAGGCAGCAACAGCGATATGAGAGCCTTGAACTGGAGCTGGAGCATTACACACATGTTGCCATTTAAGCAGTTAATGGCGTGTTTAAAGCTAATTGCCGTTGCCAACTGCCAACTGTTGGCCGGAGCCCCCAACACACACAAGCAACCACAAAAGCCTCGGCTACTTGTTTGCTAACGTTACTATTTATTTTATGAACTTTTTGTGTCGCCTGCGGTAACCACAGCGGCACTGCCACTGCCACTGGCCGCAATGCAAAGGCAAATCCTAAATAATGCATAATATTTCGTTATTGTTGCGTACTTTCTCTACCCAACATACCCTGCAACAGGGTAAAGCAACAAACTGACCGCACATATGGATTTGTGTGGGTTAAATAAACACTAATATATATATATAAATATATATCAAAATATATTCAGATATATACTATATGTTGTGTAACCATATTTGCATTTTAATTATTCTGATTCTAAAATGTTTTTATATATTGTTTAACATATTTTCATATTTCAATATCAAAATATATTTACAAAGCAATTAAAAATAGAGCTAATAAAATAAAAAACTTTTCGTTGGATATCATGACAATAGAAAAAAATGAAACAGAATGCAAAAAATAAAAATATGAAAGTTAAACAATATTTAACAAAAATATATGCAAAATTTCAGTTAGTTGCCTGTTACTGATGTCC